CGTATAAACAAACGGGCTCTTCTCTTGCATACAAAGTGACACTGTGCTGATTTATTATTATTATTATTATTATTATTATTATTATACGGGATTTATATAGCGCCAACAGTTTGTGCAGAGCTTTACAATATAAGGACATTACAGTTCGCGACAAGATGGTAAGGAGTGCCCTGCCCCTGAGGGCTTACAATCTAAAAGGGAGGGGGACGTGATACATGAGGAGGTAGCTGTGTGGGGATGAATTGTCTGATAAAGTGAGAGTTCAGTGGTCAGGTGGGATCACTTTTCACTGTCATCTCTTTAAAGCATGCTCTGGATTGGTATGACCGCACCGTACAGTGCAGGGGATTGAGGAGTTACAGCTACTTGTACCAGCAATATATAACCATACGTCTCATGATTACTTACTATATAACTGGATTACAGGTATTTGTTATGTATGACTGGATATAAAGCGGTTGTAACCCCCCAAACAAAATTAGTCAAATCTTCCTAATTTATCATCTATGCATGCCCTTTTTTTATTATTATACTTTCCTGTTAGAGAAATGACCTGTAGATCCTGCCAGTCACTCGGACTTTCTTCTCTTTGGTGGCAATGATCTGCGGGCTCCTAGAGACTCTGCAATGTTGCTACCACAGTGCACATGCCGCCCTTCTTTTAGCAATTAAGTTGTGTCTACGCTCAGCCACAGCGCGTCACATGTGTTGCTGACCTTGCTTCAGCTTTTTCACACCAGCACGTAGGACACAGTGGTGCTTTGGTTAGGCATTAAATTGACTCCAGATGGCAACGGACGGGAACGCCCTGCTGTGATGTCCGTAGGAAGAGTCGCATGCTTCACCTATTACACCGTATGATATGGAGGGACATGGGGAAGATAATGTGACCACACTAAGGAAGAGCCTAAAAAAAGGTTTTTTTTTGACGTTATTAAAATTACGTGATCCATAGACAGTTATTGTTGTTGGCTAATTTACTGCTCATGTGCCAGAATTTGTTCAAATGGGTTTACGTACACTTTAAGCTTTGCATTTCCTTAATTTGGCAATTGTAAAATTTCTGACCAGAACGAGAAAAAAACCTTCATAAAAATGACTGCTCTAGATATGTTATTTATGTTTCTTTTGTTAGTGTAACTACCTACCTTATTTTACGCTCCATAAGACGCACTCCCCCCCCCAAAAGGGGGAAAAAATGTCCGTGTGTCTTATGGAGCGAATCCCTATTGCCCGACGCCTGGGACATGCAGTTTCGGGTGCCGGGCAAGTAGTTTTTTGTACATTCAGCTCAGGAGGAGCAGAGCTAATTGTACAGTGGGAGCCGCTGCTCGTTTAATACAAGTGATCTAGTCAGATCACTTGTATCAAATCGAGCGGCGGCGATCGTGTCCAGGGGGCCCCCTGCCGTGGTTTTCGGGGGCCCCCGCTCCTCTGGGGGACCCGTGACCACGGCACAGGAGCTCACCATAGAGCAGACGAACGTCTGTTCTTCGTCTACTCTATGTGATCACTGAGACCGTGGCGCTGTACTTACAGCGCCACCTGTCTCAGCTGTCCCTAACTGCAGCTATTTCTGTTGTTGTTGTTATTAATCAGGATTTATATAGCACCAACAGTTTGTGCAGCGCTTTACAATAAAAGAAGACAGTACAGATACAATACAATTTTTAAGACAATATGCTAGGGAGGACCCTGCCCGTGGGAGCTTACAATACTAAAAAATATTGTAAAAATATATTTGAGGAGCTTACCATGAGCCCTGTTTATAGGCCCCTCTCTCTCTTGAATACCCAGTAAACCACTTGTGACAGAATTTTACCTGCAAGTAACATGGTGGAAATACTTGGATACATATCCTTACTGCTCTGAATATGATTGGTAGATAGCAGGAAATGTTCTGCTGCCTCGATTCAGAAAGTGGGGTGCAGTGTGTTTTAGAAGTATTCCTCATTTCTGTATGTATGCCTGTGAATGGGAGGAGTTTACTAGAAGTTGTTGGGACATACGCTGGCTTTCATGTATATTATCAGTGACAAGTGGGTGCAGGCTGTGTGCCTCATGCTTTGTAAATCACACATCAGCATATTCCATGTGATGTTGATGTCCTGGAGTTTGCTATTGTGGTTGGCAGTACTCTGATCTCTGAGCATGAAGGTTTCAGTCACAAAGGGTGTGGATTTATCAACTGTCCTGTAAATTAGGGATAAATATTACATTGTAAGCAAGTATTAAATATGCATTCGACTATGTAAGATTCAAATTGGCACGTCCTTTATGGTTGACCATGTGATGTGATCAGTCAGCTATCACAAAGCTGTAACAACAACCCTATGAATAAAAACCTATGAATGTAAACCATGAAATGGGCTGCACACTATACAGCCACTGTCGATTTTTTAAGGTGTGGTGTGGTTGATCTAGGTATCGGTAATCTGGTTTAAGAACAGATTACAGTAGTAAATACAGATTGCACTGCTAGAATCAAATGTATTGAAGGACGGTTGTTTTGTATGACCGAAAACTATTAAGTAAAAAAAAATGTAGTTTCATATGGTAATACAATACACTGTTGGCAATAAAACAGCATATACTGATGGTATTACTGACTGCACTACAGCGCCATCTACAGCTCAAAATACAAATTACAATGTTAGTCTCTATGTGCATGCATATCTATGATACACTGGAAGTTTTTTCTGTAGTTTTTTTCCTATGTTTGTTTTCTTCACAATGCTGTATTCATACATGTAATGTTCTTCTGAGCAAGTAAAACGTAATTTAGCATTCCTCAAGATCTCATGCTTCATCTAAACACATAACCAACAGTTTATGGGCCCACTAAACAGAACACTGCAAGTCGATAAGAGCCACATTCAAGCTGCTGAAAGATGACAAGCAGTTCAGATATGAAGTTTGCAATCGCAAAGCTGAACAATACCAACAGTTGACATTTATCAATAAGTCCTACCTGCTTTACCTTCATTTTGGTTTCAGCGTTGGTTTGGTGTAGAATCCAGATGCACACAAGCTGATTTCAAGCTGCAATCTGTGGTAAGCAAATAATTTCGAAACAAAGAGGCATTCATGTCCTCACTTAAGTTGGAGTAAACACTCTTTGAATTTTGGCCGGCTCGGAGTTCTCTGCATGGATTGGCACCCTTCCGCTGGCATCCCTCGATCAGCTGATCAAAGGAGCCTATTGAAAAATTATCAGCCGAACAGAGGTGGCAGCCAATCAGCTGCTAGCTCTGTTCAGGTATTGTGGCAGTAGCAGCTGGTAGCTGATGGGATACAAAGGAAACGGGGGATTCATCCATCAACATTCCTAAGCATTGATGGAGTAATCTGTTCTATTTTTCTTTCTTCAGTTTGCAGGGTGAGTGGGAAAAAATAGAACCGTGTATACCCGGCTTTAGAGTGCTTTTGTATCATTCTTCCAGATGTGTACAGTAATCCAATGTTAAACTTTACCTCTGTGTAGGAGGTTCCTTTAATAAAGACCGCCCACTGTTGCGATCTCTCCTTGTGCAGGGTGACTGGTGAGAGAGAATTTCTCCAAAATAAGGGATATCTTTGGTGGCCAGCAGAGTCACTAGAGCTAATATCCCAATTGAAAGATTTCCCATCTATTCCTGTTGTGGTGACAACTCAAAATTTGGTATTTACTTTTGCTTTCAGTGATAATGTTCACCAGGACAAATGGAGGGGGTGAATCCCCCTAAAGGGGACACAGTCTGCAATAAAAGCCTGGCAGGGGTTCTAATCCCTTTCTACTCTATGCAAAAACATTTTGTCTTCAATTGCACTTCCAGCAGGCTGAAACTAGTTCAAATGAGCTACAGTGAATCTGAAATGATTTTAAAAATATTCTTGGAAAATTGTCTCATCTACTGCGTTTTGTAGGGAAATGTGTGTTTCCTTGGCCTTACTTCCTTTCATGTCCACCTGTGCACCTAGAAAATCAGTTCTATGCTGGCATGTGACCATGCTCAACCATCGAGTAGCCTGTTTTATATTCAATCAAGCTGCAAGAATTAAAAGTGTTCATACATTCGGAAATATCCACAAACTTGTAGAGCAGGGGTTTTTTTGTGTTGCTCTACTTTTCAGATGACAAGCTACATGAGTCTGTCCTTTGCTCTCTCTCCTGGCTGTCTGTCCTTTGCTCTCTCTCCTGGCTGTCTGTCCTTTGCTCTCTCTCCTGGCTGTCTGTCCTTTGCTCTCTCTCCTGGCTGTCTTTCCTCGTGCTCTCTCTCTCCTGGATCACCTTGCTGTATTTTGCAAACAGTGTAGTGCAACAGGCTGTGTAAACTAACATTCTTTGATGTGATACATAGCACTTCAACCACCAGTATCCACCAGAAAGGAGTCAGGGATTGTCTGTCCTTTGCTCTCTCTCCTGGCTGTCTGTCCTTTGCTCTCTCTCCTGGCTGTCTTTCCTCGTGCTCTCTCTCTCCTGGATCACCTTGCTGTATTTTGCAAACAGTGTAGTGCAACAGGCTGTGTAAACTAACATTCTTTGATGTGATACATAGCACTTCAACCACCAGTATCCACCAGAAAGGAGTCAGGGAGCTTGGCTCAGCAGACTCAGGCTAATAGGTAATCATGTGTGCACAGCTAAATAAATATACCAAAATGGAATAAAGGGGCCACCATTCACACCCTTTTGTGATCTACCAGCATCAGCTTTGAGAGCTACTGGTAGATCATGATCTACCTAATGGGCACCCCTGTTGTAGAGAGACTTGTGAAAATGTACGTGTATCCCAGCTTTGCCTGCGTTCCTCTCTGGGCCTATTAATAGAAACATACAATAAATGTCCCCAGCTGTATAGAAAGGAGTGCAACAGTGGTGGGTCCATGTTATCGGAGGTGCACCCCTCCTTTACAACATGTGCATATTTACTAATAAACATAAGATTTGTATACATTACTTTTTACACCAGATGATCTGTTTTTGACTTTGTTTTTATTGTTTGTTTCTGCCATTTTAGGATGCGTCAGGATGAAGCGACACAGGCACCTCAGCAGCAGCGACAGCTCAGACAATGAAAGTGAGTATCTCCTAGTTAGCAAAGTGATGTATGTACTCGGGGGCATCCATATTTGTTTATTACGTGTGTGTGCTCTGCTTCGTATGGTGCAGTGTTACTTTGTGTTATTGCTTTACTGCTTGTTCTAACAATGCACGTTTTTATTAGTTTTAATCCTTTTAGTAGGATGACTCAATGGAACCAATGCACTCCTAGCGTGGCTGCTTGTTGAGACAGAGTAATTGCACCCTCAGTTCAACCTCAAGGTGACAATCTACAAATTTCTATATTAAAGGGTAATTTCACTTTCCCAGGCCAATCTGGGTAAATGGAACAAGTTCCCTCCATTGGAAGATTTCACCTCTATTCATGTTCCAGTGACAACTCTTTAAGATTTTCTGTCCTACCGTGTTTCCCCGAAAAAAAGACACTCTTATATTTTTTTGTTTTAATGTTAGAAGTTCCCTCAGTGACTGAGGCTCAGTCACCTCACTCCGACCCCACTGGCCGTGCCGCTGCCTGCTGGGAAATATAGTTTTCTGCCCGGCGGCAGCTTTCTAAGCAAAAGCCAAGGCAGACAGGTGTCTGCTGAATTCGGGACACGGGCGGCATGCGGAAGCTGCGGCGAGGCGGTCAGCCCCCGCCGTGTACTCTGGTTGCTCTCTGGGCCGCCCCCACCCCTAAATGACAGAATACCAGGGCCTTGGCTGCGCCCCCCTCCCATCCTCGCCTCACCCTTCCTATGGCCCTGCCAGCGGTGCAGACAGTGGACAGTGCGTTAAAGTACATGCTACCGTACCACCGAACTGGGTCTCATTTTCGGGGTATGTCTTCTATTACATGAATCTCTAAAGATAGTGCTAGGTCTCACTTTCGGGGTAGGTCTTATTTTCGGGGGAAACACGGTAGTAGCAGTGGTCATCAAGGCAAATGTACTTCGTGGGGGCACAGAAACAAAAAAAATATTTTGTGCTTCAGATACACGTTTATTATTTAAAAAAAAAAAAAAGCACTATAGATGACCTTTAAAAAAAGATCAGCACATACCGGTATTCTTATTTAACTTGTCTGGAGTGTTTTTGTTTTGAATTATGTGCCAGCTGTGATTTAATAAAGCAAAGATTGTATATCCTACATATATTAAACTGACATCATTTAAAAATGTACAACATTAAAAATCTAAATAAAAACCATTACCAATGAATGATTGTTTATAACTATACACATCATAATTGTGTGTTGCACTGGTTTACTGAACAAGCCCATGTACAGTAGATGCCACATTTTATCAGCATTGGGTATGATTCCAATATTTAAAACGCACTCAAGGGCTTGTGTCCACTGGCTTTTGTTCACTTTTAAGTCTATGGAAAGGTGAAACCTGTTTATAGCAGGCCAAATGCACCTGTAAATGATATTCTGAATGATCTCTGAATAATGTCAAACTGATACTAACCAAAGCCCATCGATGCCGGCCCAAAGTAATCTCAGTGTCCTTATAGACAAAGAATAAGGTATAGTTTGCATCATTGACATATATATTTTTTTCTTTGCTTTCAGGTCCTTCAACTTCTTTTTCCTCATGTTTCCAAGAATACAAGAGCAGGAACACGTGTACGTACACAAATGAGGAAGAGAAGAAATCTGCCGAGGTAAACACCCGTGTATGGGAAATTATGCTACCAATCTGCATTGGCGGATCATGCGTACACGGCGCAAACCGCCACTAACACAATGTATGAATGTAGCTTCAGTGATTTATGCACAGAGTCTGTAACTAAGGTTCAGTACGTCCTACAAAGCAATCAAAATATATTGTTTGATGGAAAGCATAAACACTTTTAGTTTATGACCTGCAGGTAGTTGTACCAGGTTGTCTCAGAACTGATCAGTTCCTTGGATAGCTGTTATCTGTAATGGGGTCAGCTAGGGCTCATTTACATGTCAGCATTTCAGACTGGTTCCCAACATGTAAACTGGCAGTGCTATTCTGTACTATTAAAGGTAATGATCCAATTTAGGTGTCTGCAAATTACATTTGCGCTGTGTTAAAGTACACCCAAACTCCTGCATGTATAAATAGAATGCTAGGATAGGCATCCACAGCTGAAACTGCAGGTCTTTACATGTGAATGAAACCTCATTGGGATGATCTGCTTGAGGAGCAGTGTACGGAAGGGACTCCCACCAATGATTTGAGGGAGAGTAAAAGGTGTGCTTAATCTGACTTTTTGGTTTAAATGAAAATGACAGATTTTAAAATAATTGTTCAGTAGGCGCCTTCACATATTTGTCAGAAAGCAGTTGTTGACAGTGAAGGATACTGTAATTGAATATGTTACTAGACAACACAGCCATCACATGTTAGTGATCCCATGTGCCAAACGTTTTCCCCCAGTGTGGGTTTCCATAGCTCTGCTCTGTTTCAGTGTTTAACCTCCTTGGCGGTATTCCTGAGTGTGGCTCGGGGTTAATTTTCAGTACCACTCGGGATTACAGCATAGCGATCCCCGCTGTGTCCTCCGGCCGATGCCGGCATCCTTCTTCCAGGCTCCGTCCCTTGCGAGCGTCCACGTAGCAGGCAGGCGGAACCGACGGGAATTTTAAAAGTAAAAAAAAAAAAAGATAGAACAAAAAAGGAAAAAAATAATTTTACCAAAGCTATGTGATAAGATAACTGCTATCTTACCACATAGCTTTGTACAGCAGCAGTTCTGTAATAATCTGAATACTGGAAGACATTTCTTATGTTCTTACTCCCCATACAATGAGAAATATTGTATTTTTTTTTTTTTTTTTTTTACTTAGTTTTTTGGGGAGGGATAAAAAGTGCTTTAATTGGTGAGCATATTTAGATCATTTTGTTTATTTTAATTACAAAGAGGGGTACATTTTAGAAAACCTTTTTTACTACCACACCTAATGTTTACCCCAAAGTATAGTCAACACTCTTCTCAATACAGATACAACATGTGTATGATTGCAAGTGTCATCCAACACTTCCACTTATTATACAATTTATTTTTATTTCCTTCAAATCAATTATTTTATTTGGTGTGACTGATCTCCTCAGGGAGGACTTGTTCTAGCCCCCATATACATCTAGTGCCATTTACATTTGCACATTCATGTGCATTTAAACCCTTTTGCTCATGGGCCTCACCCAAAAAACTCACAATTCTAAAATATGCTGCAGTGCGTTAGAACGCATCGCAGTGCATGATTTTTTTTTTCTTTAAAAAAAAAAACCCCCCTTAAATTAACTGGCAGTGCATGGCAAAGCTTTGTGACGCATTGCCGTGCGTTGTGATACCTTGTGTTGCAATTTAATATACGCCTGTATTATTTTATCACAACATAAACGCAGCGCAAAAAACAGTTTTTAACATAAGTCGCTTATTTACAGTTTTGCGTACCTTTACTTTTTTTACCTTTTCGCAATAAGGCGCAATTTAAAATTTGCAAATATTTGTTATTTATTAACTCAATACAGTTTTATCTTTTAGATTTAATCAGAAAATATTTTATTTGTGCGCTGATACTGATTTTAGTGTGTTTTAACAATTGAATTTGTATTTTTATCGGTTTAATATTAATTTGAGAAACATTTGCGCAATTATCTCAGGGCCTACAAATTTAGTAGCACCATCTTTTTATTCTACCGGACCTGTGATTTCAGAAAATATATGGTTTGGGGGGGTCTTCTACAAACGCTAGCAACGCAGCAGTTGAAAATCAAATCAATGGGAAAACTTTCAAAAATGTAGCCAGCTGAGTTGCAAAATGTTCTGGGGGGCTTGGCAGCGAAAGGGTTAAACTGTCTTTTTGTCCAGGCCATTTTTCATCATTCAGCGCTGAGGTACTTTGACTGAAAGTCATGCAACGCTGTACCAAAATTTTTATATCATTTTATTTGTTTAACAGATAGCTTTTTTTTTTAATAGCGGTATTTAATCACCACTGGGTTTTTTATACTATATAAAGAAAGTACTAAAAATCTTGGGGGGAAAAACTATTTTCCACGCATTATGATATGAAACATTTTATTAGTCAATTTTTTGGGTAAAATAAAAAAGATGGGGTCACGTCAGGTAAACAGATACCAAACATGTCAAGCCGTAAAATCGCAAAAAAAATACCTTACACAAAATTGTTCATAGGTGACGCTTTAAAAGCTTTTACAGCTCATCAGTTTGGTGTGTACTGTGATTGATGGCCCAATTATTGCCCGCACTGTGACGTTTGCGATGATATGTAACATGTGGCGCTATGTGATAGCACATTTACACTAACAGATCCTCTTTATGGAGACATCAGGGGTCTATTAGACCCTAATGTCACTTGTGGACCCCAAAAAAGCCGATGGAGCACAGATCTGTGCTTCACCAGCTTTCTCTCCAGCTCAGCAGTGAGTGAAATGACAGACTGAAACCAGAGGCGATGTAATTCACATCACTTCTGCTTTCAGTAATTTGAGGGGAGATCAGCCTCTAAAAGTGTGCTGAGCTCCCTCCAATCAATGTAACAAACCCGCCATGCCGGGCCCACACGGGGGACAGCGGAGCTCGGGATGGGTGGGGTGGGGTTACACTTCCCCAGCACCACACAAGCAATTTGGTGGCTCTATAGCCACCCGAACACTTATATGTAGAAGCCATTGCTGGCTGTAAAAAATATGTTTACACTCTCCTGCTCATGTGGGGGCGGGATGCACGGGAGGGGGGAAGAAGAAGTTTGAAATTGCCCCCCCCATGCTGTCTGGCCGTTTAATTAGAACGGGTGGACAGCAAGCATGGTGGCACTCCAGGCACACACTGTTATTGTACAGTTTTATATAGCTCTAGTAGATTTTGCAATGCTGTACAATTGCTTCGTCTTCCGCCAGCTCTGGCTGATCTACCCAGTGGTTGTGCTCCTTCTTACAATACAGTTCTCCCAGGAAACAAAGCACTGCCTATGTGGCTGATATCTAGCTCAACCGATTGAAGCAGAAAGGCAAAGTTATTGTACTGCAATACAGTTATTGATCAGGATGTTTCTAATATCATTTGTAGCAAGTTAGCAAAAAATACCCTTAGTTTATTCTGCATAAATGTAACCATTACGTTATAATTAATATTTTGTTTGTTTTTCCTAATGACAGCCTGTGGTCTTTTTGGCTGCATGGAGGTAGAACTGCAACACATTTTCCTAGTAATTATACAGTTACAAGTGATTTGTTACCTGTGAACTGTTACATGACCTCTGCAGCATACTAGTGAATGTTCAAAGCATATACATTCAGGGCTCTGTTTAATATTCCATTCCTGCTTGGTGTTGCATAATGCCAAGTGTCGGACATGCCTGGGTGTTTGTACATACTCTGCCAAGTCTGGGACATCTGCCAGGAGCAGCTGTTATATCTCAGAGGACACACTTGTGTCTTCCTTCAGAATGAAACCAATAAACCTAACATTTTTTTTCTGCCACTGTGTTGCTATGTGATATTAACTCATTTTTTTTCTGCCTGCAGAATAGATTTTAAGGTGCTTTTTCATGCTTCTGGCGTTGGTCTCTCTTCCCATCGTATCCGTGTGCAATGCTTATACACAGCATTTCTGGGTGACATATTTACAGATTGTTGCCCCAATTTCTTTTTTTTGTGTGTGTGAAATATATCGGGTATGCAATCTTGGCAATCTTGGTTCTCCAGCTGTGGTAAAACTACTAATCAAATTACACCTCTGGGAGTCATGCCTGTGACTGCTGGAGTCTTGCAATGCTTCATGGTATTTGTAGTTCCACATCAGCTGAGGTTGCCTACCCCTGTAATATACAAATACTGCAGACCAGTTCCAAGTCCCTGGCCTCTGGAGTTTCCCATTTATGCCCTACTGTATTTTATCAATGAAACCACCACAATTCCATCCACAAAAATGCAATCAGCCGCACTGCTTGTGGAAAAAAAAAAATATAATTTATTAAGTGTAACAACATGAAAAAGAGAACACCCTAACCCCTAAAATTTAAAATTTAAAATCCAATCAAGGAGCCCTCTGACATCTAAATAAGTGAATATGGTGTATTGCCAACAAATGTGTTTAAATAAAGATTTCACAGTTGTAGTAATAATAATATATACGAGGGGTTTCAAAGTACCAGCCCATGAACTGGTACCATCCGGCCCGCAGCCAGCTGACAAATCAGGCACACAGTGATGAACCGCGTACCTGACTTTTGTGGGAGGAGCTACACGGTCTGCATCTCTGTGGGAGCAGCTTACACGGTCTGCATCTCTGTCGGATGCAGACCACATAGCTGCTCCTGTCTGTGCTGGAACTCCCTGTGAGTCAGAGCGCAGTGTGTGACTGTGACAGCTTTCACTGAGTGCTGGGAAGGATTAGTAAGGTCTACGCAGCCAAAGGTACAAACCATACTAATCAACCCTCGGACCCCCAGGGAATGTGCCTCCTCCCTGCAAAAAAAATGTAAGCGGGTAAGGGGGCTCTTTTATTTTAAGTGAGGTGTGTGAATCTGTTGGTGTGTGTGGAAACACACACACGTATATACACATGTATACATACTGATATGACACACACACAGAAATATTAACACATACCTATATCACTCACAGAAATTCTGACTATACACACAAACCAACACAAAAAAATATACTGACATTGGATTCAAAGAAACCATCAAAAACACATATACTAACATTATAAACACATGCAGATATTAACAATGGTACGGTATATAGTTACATTTTGTTTTGAAGTATGGCATTTTATGAAATTTGACAAGCGGCCCCCATGGGAGAAGAGAATTTCTCGGTTGCCCCCAAGTGAATTGAGTCTGAGACCCCTGATATAAACTAACTGCACCTCCTAAACCCCAAAAGGTGCTTAGAAAGAACACCTATCTCGCAAACGTTGTTCTATACCATGATACATGTGAAGCTATTCTGTGGATGCCCTATTGCAGTATAGTATGGTTATGGACCCCCCCTGGGATCAAACTAGTTTGCCTACTTTGTCCCACCTCCGTTTTCTTTAATGCCAGTACGTTATTGCCTTTTTGTTAATTTTATATGTTTGCACTATATTGGTTAGGATGTTATCAGTTATGTTTGGCATATAGGTTATTTTGTGGACATTACATATTATTATTATTGTATTTTGTGTTATTCATTGAACCTGGACTCTCTTGTGGAGCACCTTTTGGTGCTTATATGTATAGTTCCCTGATGTTGTTGCAACTGTCAAATCCTTATTTACTAGGGATGCACCAATACTGGTTTTTCGACTACACGTACCAATATTTTTTGTTTTTCCTGGTACTCACTGATACCGATACCGGCATCCCGAGGTGGCGTGGGCCCAGCTGATCAGGAAACCGGGCAATCAGGCCATGACCCGCCAGGCCGGCATCCTGATTGCCTGGGAAGCCGGTGTTCTATTGAACGCACACTGGCTTCACACTCTCTTGCGACACTACGAGGCAGCCCGGCTTCCTGTTTGGTCAGGAAGCCAGTGTGCTTTGCAGTGTCGCTAGGCAGTAGTAAGCTTGCGTCCTAGCCAATTGTGAAGCCTGGAGGCAGGTTATGACGTGCCACCTGGCTTCCTAACTAATCAGGAAGGCGGGCGGTGGATCATGACTGGCTCCATGCTCCCTCGTGGCACTGCTGGAAGATCTGGTATCAAAGCATTTGGGCGAGTACCAGTATCGATATTGGTGCATCCCTATTATTCACATGCAATTGTTGGTTTTAACACCATCTTTAACTGGTGTTTTACATTTAAGAGTTCTCCTTTGGTGTGGGGAGTTGGTGTGTCTGTTTTTTGTAGTGCTGCATTTAATAAATGATGTGTTTTACACAAGCGGTGCAGCTGATTGCTTTCTCATAAGGGAATTCCATGGTGGTTTCATATTTTAGTTTGCCCTGGCCAGCACGCAAGGTGTTGCAATTCTAGTTTGGGTTAATACTATATTAATGTAATACCCACATGCAGTAATTCAAACTAACATACAAGTGTGGCTTTAAATTGTGGGAGGAAACCTTGAGGAAGATGATGTAAATAAGTGCTACTTGTAAGCCGACGTACTTTACAAAAATTAAGATTAAAGGCAACCTTTATTGCGAGAACTACATGGGCTGCCATTGCTGACAGCACTTCTCTAAATATACTAGTTTGGTAGCCGTCTCTGGCCTAGAATAAGCATGCAGCCGTTGGAAGTATGAGGGAAGTCACGCATGCCCTGGGTCAGAGGGCAGTAGTCTTGTTACTTGGTTATGTTGATCCAAGGCTTCAAGTTTATGTATAGAAGAACTTGACAACTGCAGCATATGTATTTTCTAAGGGTTCTATTAACAAGCAAAATGTTGTCGCTTTCAGATATCAATACTGTTTTCAGAAACCTGACCTTTTGCTGTTGCTAATTGGAATGAGTCTCTGGTACTTTTCAATATGTCGGAATTAAAGGCTAAGTTTACCTTTTGGACCAGTTTCATGCTACACCCATATTCAGTGTAACATGAAACATGGGCACATTGCAACTTCCCTTTGACAGGATCTTTGAATGGAGAAATTACAAGTGCCGTCCGCCACTGCGGCAGAGGAACATTAGGTAACATGGACGGGAGGAAGAATCTGCAGGAACCATAACAGCGTACCCACAACCCACTGATGTCCATGTCAATGCTTTTCTGGCTCCAGTGCAAAAAATAATAAAGGCACATTTTTTCTTTTTATGAAAAAGTGTGCTTTTTATATATTGTTGTTTTTTTTTTTAAAGTGGATGTTCTCTTAAGTGTTAGTAGAAAACTCTATTAATGAGCGGCAAAGTAACACGGCCTGTAAATCTTTTGTAAGTAATGCTGATATATGAAAACTAGAATTTTATAATTCATTCACCAGAAAAATGAGTCCCCTAATCTGAATGTCTGCTGTTAGAAACATCCATGCGGTTTTCCCTCCAGATTGTATGCATCAGTTGTCTAATGCTGTCTTATTGCTGCTCACTTATTAATGCCTTTTTCTTGTCTTAGGTATTCCGAAAAGACTTAATTAGTGCAATGAAGATTCCAGACTCTCAACATATCAGCCAGGATGATTATTACCATTTCACAGACTCTTGGAAGCAGGAGTGGGAGAAAGGTGTCCAGGTTCCAGCTAATCCAGATATCATCCCACAACCTTCTCTCAGGTCAGTGCAATGTCCTTTTCATTTTAGAAGGTCTGCTTATTTTTGTATTTATTTTGCGCTAAAAATATCAGTGCTTTCTTGGGAGTCTTGGCTGTACATATTATGAATTTGAACTTTTGTGCCTCATCTACAGGGTCATTGCGGATAAGGTGAAAGAGGTGCTGTACTCACGTCCACGAAAGTACATTCACTGCTCAAGCCAGGAGCCATCGGAGCCAGGATATGTGAATATTCTGGAACTAGCAGAAAGCATGTGCCGATATGACCTTGATGATATGGACCTTTTCTGGCTTCAGGAGTGCAACCTTGAACTTGCAGATATGGGTATGTATGGTACAATAAGCAAGTACCCTTTGCTTTTTTAGCAGTCTTGGCTTCCATCGCTCCTGAATTTATGGCCTACCAAGCACGCATGGAGTTTGCATGTGTCTGTGTTGGTAAAAGAAAAAATTGTATGTCCATTGTCTTTTTTTTTTTTTTTTTTTCCCCCACTACTATTAATTTGCTAAATCTGGCATTAATGGCTGCTAAGTTGAGAGCTGGCATGGAAACCACTCCTTTTTATCAATGTTTTTTGGGGTTTTTTTTAGTAACATATCTATGGATGTTATCAAGAGCAACACAGGCACTCGTGTTCTTAGATGTTGATCTAGGTTGTTAACTGTCTAAGGATTGCACAGTGTACTTGTGTACTGATCTTTGTAGGATGCTCACACCAACTGAGTGTAATAGTAGTACTGGGCATTAACTCGTAGTAGCCAGCAGAAATATGATTTTGGCAGTTAATACGGACTGTGCTGTACCAAATGTTAAGTGATAAATCGACTTGAAAAATCTCTATGGGTACAGGGCGATTTCAAAACCGTAGTTATAAAGGAATACGAGATCCATGCATATGTTTGGCTTATCTTACTGATGGAGACTGTAGTCTTCTTCTATCTGCATTTTACACCACTGTTCTTTGAAAATGCTATCATTTAAGATCAGAATTCTTATTCTTACGTTCCTTTTAGACTCCTGCAATTTAGTTTTATCATCTTTTACTCTTTGACAAACACTGACTCAGGTGCTAAATGATCCTTTCTTTTTGTTGTTAACCAGGTTTCAATCCAGTGGATGAGAACACTATGGAGAAGACTATAGAAGTGTTGGAACGTCATTGCCATGAAAACATGAATCATGCCATAGAGACAGAGGAGGGTCTGGGCATAGAGTATGACGAAGATGTCATCTGTGATGTTTGTCGCTCCCCAGACAGTGAGGAAGGCAATGAAATGGTGTTCTGTGATAGTTGCAACATCTGTGTGCACCAGGTGATTCAGAGGTGCTTTTTTCAAATTAGGGAAACCTTATGAGTAATGGCTTAGAGCTTTTATATGTCGGTTTATTTACCAACACATTTCTGATGCCTAAATATCAAGGCCAAAACAATCCTAAACAAGTCCCATCAACAGATCATGTTTTGCTGGTAATCTAAAATATGTGAAGATGGTGTCATCTGTCTTGGTAATGTGATTTATGTTCCTATGTACATAAATTGTTGGTGGAACCGGAGAATGGGTTTGGGGGAAACTGTCCTTCAACAACAAAGTATGGCCTTTATCCATTTTTCTGCCTTGGTTTGTAGAAGGTGTTTTATAATTTATTTATTCTGATTTGGCAAAAGAGTACGGGATATTTTTGTATCATGCTAAGTCCTAATCTTCCATGTGGGTACTGTTCTAACGTTATACATTTAGTTTATTTTTATTGAGTAAAGTGGCTTGTTTGTAAAATTAAATAAATAAAATACATGCTTGTATACATCAAAGAATCAGTGGAGCTAAAATGTATGCATGGGTTTTATGCTTCAATACACAGGTTGCTATATGACTTATTTTTCTCTGTTCTAAGGCATGTTATGGCATCTTGAAAGTCCCAGATGGCAGCTGGCTGTGTCGAACATGTGTTTTAGGTATTCACCCTCAGTGTATTTTGTGCCCAAAGAGCGGTGGAGCCATGAAAGCCACAAGAACCGGTACAAAATGGGCACATGTAAGCTGTGCTCTCTGGATACCAGAGGTAATAATTTGCCAATTTTCTTCTGATTTGTTGTACTGCTCATTCTTCATTGCTGATAGAGCCATAACCACTTGATATTATGAAAACTTAGAAATTGCCCTCACGAGTGTGTATTAAATCATACAGTTTTCAGTTGATACAAGATGTAATGGTAATTCAGAAACATTAGGTTATGCTGCTTCTTCCAGATATTGGACTACAAGTTTAAACAGAGTCCCGGCGGCAAAAGTCGCCGGGAGTCTGTTTAAACAGCCCCGATGCTGGCGACGTACACTGTACGTCGTCAGTCACGAAGGGGTTAAACAAAATCAGTAACCCAACTGTATCCCCTCCACTCCCATAGCCCTCTTTTGTAGCAAGCAATAGTTGGAGATAAGAAAAGAGGGAAAGGGCATCAGGTGACTAGATGCCTGATGCTGAAAAGTTCATGAAGCACTAACTGATCTAGAAGAGTGTGTTTTGACAAGGAGAGGTAAAATCTTGACCTTGAATCTGTAGGCTTGAAAGAAGAGTTAATGAATCTACCTGGAGATAGTGTAATTTGATGCAGGTTGTCCCCTATGGGAGACCCTCAAGAATGACGAAAGGTAGAGCCAAGTTGAGGTCTCGCAGAATCACCATGGAACGTACAGGGGGAACAATATTGGCAACATCCTGGACAAAGGCTTTCAAGGAGTTAGAGGCTAGCAGTATTTGGAAAAGAATCACTAGGGCAGGCATTTGACCCTTTATGGTACTCAAACATAAGGCTGGGTTCACACCATTTTGCGGGCCAGATCTGGAACATAGTGCATTGCGTTTTTGCCGTGATTGGAATTTTTAAAATTATTTTTAGCTTAAAATGGTCTTACAGGTGCGCTCCATGCATTTTGATGCGTTCCAGACCACACAAAATAGGACAAGTAGTATTTTTCTGGAACGGACTGTTGTGGTGGGAACAGAGACCAGAAATACCATAGGGATACATTGGCATGTATTTTGGGTCCGTAATCGGAGAAATGACCGGATTCCTTCCACAAAGTACTTCCTTGGATGGAAATTTCTTCGTTATTTTTTTCCATGATGCATGCCACCAGCCTGCCTGCACCGTGGAAAGGTGTGACAGGAAGAAAAAAATGTTATGCCACCCCTGATAAAGACAGTCTGTGCACAAGGTGCGAAGGGACTGAAAAAGCTGATGTACAGGATAAGCCTCCACCCTACCCTGTAAAGGCACTCGGGCTGTTCACACATTTAGTAGGGTTAACCAGGTGTATGTTTATGCCTAATTTGACCTGTTATGTGGGCGTGTTGTTTAATGTGTTGCTCGGCCCTTGGTTGGACTCTGATCCTGTGTCCTGTAATGTATGATTAAGAAAAGTGGATTTTTGACTTGCATATAAAATCCTTTCTTGGAGTATGTTGCAGGACACAGGTCCTCTGTTAGCATTCTCTCCCTGTTCAGCTTGCCAAAGGCAGGCTGGGAGTTGAAGGGGTTACAGGTGAAACTCAAATAATTAGAATATCGTGCAAAGTTCATTTATTTCACTAATGCAACTTAAAAGGTGAAACTAATATATGAGATAGACTCATTACATGCAAAGCAAGATAATTCAAGCCGTGATTTGTCATAATTGTGATGATTATGGCTTACAGCTCATGAAAACCCCAAGAACCCCAAATCCACAACCTGAAAAAAGTAGATTATTACATGCAATCAATAAAACAAGGCTTGTACATAGAACAATATCGGACCTCTGAAAAGTACAAGCATGCATATGTACTCAGTACTTGGTTTGGGCCCCTTTTGCAGCACTTACTGCAATTACTTTGCACGATATTCTAATCGAGTTTCACCTGTATATGGGACTCTTTACAGCTCTGTTTGCCAGTGTTCAGTCACCTGAAAGCAGCTGCATATAACCTATGGTCTAAGACTCTGATCCTGTGTCCTATAATGTACTGCATGAAAAGGATTTTACAATAAGTCTGAATTCCTCTATTTAAATGTATTTGTATTTTAATAGTGCTTGTAGTTCTTCTCTATGGTATAAAGCTTATTCAGTTTTTTTTTTTTCTTTAGTCCAGGTAAGCATTGCTTGCCCTGAAAGGATGGAGCCGATTACAAAGGTTTCTCACATCCCTCCCAGTCGCTGGGCATTGGTCTGTAGTCTATGTAAACTGAAGACTGGAGCATGCATACAAGTAAGATTGTAATGTCTATACCACAGAATAAACCCCCCCTCAAGTTAGTTTTTCTTATTTATCTGGTATAAATACAGTGAGGGGAAATTTTATCAAAATCTGATACAGTTGTCCATAGTAACCAATCAGCTAATCCCTTCAGTCTTTTCAGTTAAGATTTTAAAATTGAAAGCGAGAAGCTGATTAAATAATATGCCCCATGTAACACTGGCATGGCATAGTGCAAATTAATTCTGTGTGTGTATATATGTCAACAATTATATATCTTTTTATTTTTAGATTGTTAAAATCAGTGATTAGCTTCTGCAGGATATTGCTTTTTGTTTGAAAAATTTAAACCTGTCACGCACCTGGGAATTTTGGATGTAAGATGACAAAATTCAAACAAGATATCTATTGGTTAGAACCATATTTTAGAAACCATCAAAAGATTCAAAGCTGTTGGCAGCTTGGAGGTATATGCAAAACATGACTATTTCTGTAGAATTTGAGCTCAGCCCTTTTGAATAAGACCTTAAAGCCCAACTCCATGTACAGTTGTTTAATCTTTAATTTAGCACATAAACCAGCTCCACAGATTGACCTTTCATATGCACAGCAGGGAGTCAGAAGTGCAGCTTCTTAAGTGTTGGTGGATGCAGGGGGGGTCTTGAAATGTATTCATCCATACCAAATAGCGATTGTAAATATAATGTACCAAAGGAAAGTAATGAATTAACTACACCAATCCAAGCTTGTTTAGTAGGGAGATCCAGTTTCCGGCAATTTTCATTCTAGCTACTAAGAGTCGGTAACATAAAGTTTTGATGTCGGGTGGCAGTGGTGGTTTCATCCATATAACTCAAGAGATATAGCAAGGGATGCAGTTTTAAGTCGTTAGAGACTAAAAAGGATGACTCTCACATTGCCTCCTCGTAAGTAGATACCATATGTATCTGTACAGAAGTGACAGTTACGACAGTCTAAATTGTAAACCAGCTTTAAAAAAAACTTTTTTGGAGTTGGATACGTCCTCTTCACCAAAAAGAGCTGAGTGAGCCTTTAGGGGTTATTTAGGATGGTTAAGTGATTGTGTGTGTTTTGTTTTTTTAATAGAGGAACATTGATTGGTATGATAGATGCTTATCAAGAAAAAGTAAATCCACTTTAGAGTTCATTCCCTAGGTGGTGGTTTCAAAGCTTCTGCTAACCGGAATGGTGTCATTTCGATGGTGGTGTTTAGGGAATTAGAATTGCATGGTGTGTCTGAGCTGTAGATATCTGTAGAAGGACTTTGCAGAAAGATTTTAAACTCCATTGGTAAGTTTCAGAAAAATGTAATATAGTTTTCATGTAACTAAAATGGTTTTAGAGCATAGGATTGCCAAATACAACGCCCTACTAGAGAGGACAGCTCAGGGAGGCCTGGGTTATTCCATAGTGGGGGGGAAAGTGGTGTACTTTTCTACTGAAAACAAATTGTAAGGTACTTCTGTAGGCTTTTAATTGTAGATTGTAAAGTATCCACATATCAAAGAGGATCTGAGGCATTTACTATTTTAAGCAATATGTGTCTGGTGGGTCTACCCGAGTGCAGGTTCTGGAATTGGTCTGTAGAATTGCCAGGCATTCCCTTTCTTTTGCCCCTCTGAAGTTGAGGGCTATTTTTTCCCTCCCAAATAAAGGTACCAAATATTGATTGAAGTTTGGTTAAGATACATTTGGGGGATCGCAGTTTGCATTAAAACAGAATAAACTTGAGTTCTACTTTAGTGAATGCAGCAGAGCTAGAAAGATCGTAAACAATTTCTGGATGTGCATTTACATACTAAAGCTATATGATCTATTTTATTGTGTTACTGCACATTCTCACCTTGTTTCCATATGTGACTCTATCTTTAGCTTAGACTCTTTTAAGCTAATTGCACTATAAATCATTGCCTGTGTGATTTTTCTTTTAACAGTGTTCAGTTAAGAGCTGCATAACAGCATTTCATGTCACTTGCGCCTTTGAACACACTCTGGACATGAAGACCATTTTAGATGAAGGAGATGAGGTCAAGTTCAAATCCTATTGCTTGAAGCACAGTAAGAACAAACATTGCCCCGAAGGGGTGCAAGAAGATGCTCCCAAACCAACTGTTGACAGCAGGCAAAGCGAGAGTGAGAAAACCAGCCTGCGTGCCCAGAAACTAAAGGAGCTGGAGGAAGAATTTTACACTATGGTAAATGTGGATGCAGTGGCAGCTGAACTAGGTTTACCCAAACTCACTGTGGACTTGATTTACTCTTTTTGGCTGCTGAAACGTAAAAGCAACTTCAACAAACCGCTGGTACCTCCTAAGGAGGAGGAGCAGAATGGCTTGTTACAACCCAAGGAGGACAGCATCCACACAAGAATGAGGATGTTCATGCACCTTAGACAAGATTTAGAGAGAGTGAGTCAAGCTTTTATAGCTATGGGGTTTCTTTTTTTAATAACGTAATATCTTACAGAAATGTTACTCTTACACTTTGTTTTGCAAGCTGTTTCGTATTAAAGTTACATTCAACCTAATTTGAGAATACAAAAGTGAAGAATGGTTAAAAACCCCATTGAGCTTTTATTGTTTTTATCTTTTTGTCCAGGTGATTCCCTTTCCTCTAATTTCTTGTCCTGTAAGGTAAAAATCTTGCAGACAAATGGGAAGCCATTATCCTGACACACACAGAGAGAGATAGATATATATTTATTTTGGATAGAGAGATGTGTGGTGATATAATTGTGTATATATTTAATTCTCAGAAAAGCAATGTTAAAACCAGCGGCATTCATATTGGAATGCTCTGTTCACTTCAAGGCAAATGGCTTTCCAAAGATGGGCAGGCCCGTTTACAGTCCTCCTGACAGTAGAAAGTTTAATTATATACAGGTGAAACTCGAATAATTAGAATATCGTGCAAAAGTAATTGCAGTAAGTTCTGCAAAAGGGGCCCAAACCAAGTACGGAGTACATATGCATGCTTGTACTTTTCAGAGGTCCGATATTGTTCTATGTACAATCCTTGTTTTATTGATTGCATGTAATAATCTACTTTTTTGAGGTTGTGGATTTGGGGTTCTTGGGGTTTTCATGAGCTGTAAGCCATAATCATCACAGTTATGACAAATCACGGCTTGAATTATCTTGCTTTGCATGTAATGAGTCTATCTCATATATTAGTTTCGCCTTTTAAGTTGCATTAGTGAAATAAATGAACTTTGCACAATATTCTAACCGAGTTTCACCTGTATGTAGAATATGCACTTCTCACTGGGTTGCAAAATTGAGATAATAAATAACATTTGATGTAAAAAGCTTTTACATATATATTTTTTTTTTCTCTTCACAGGTTAGGAATCTGTGCTACATGGTAAATAGAAGAGAGAAGATGAAACTCTCACACAGCAAAATCCATGAACAAATCTTCAATCTTGAAGTACAACTTGTAAATAAAGAGTTGGCCACAGGTAAACTACTTTTCATTAGCTCATTATTGAGGCTAAATGAGATGAGTGAAGAACGGGAATTTAATGTGAATTGATTAAACTGAATAATTTACCATTACTGCAGAATCTTATGCAACATATCAGTACTGAGAACTGTCCTTTCTGTTTGCATCAATTGGATGCAATCATGTCAAGGCAGTTCTTAGTCTTGAGTCTATTAGTCTACGGAATAGTGGCAAGAGACAGGTTAGCAATGTTTAAATTGTTTGTTTGTTTTTTGCAGTAATCTGTGATTTATTTTTTTTATTTTTTAATAGGAAACATTTTGTTGCCAATTTAAGAGCTAGTAATACTTCCAGCTGCAGCTCAGCTCTTTTGTATGTGTGGACCTCTTTCTTAGAGTTGTGTGTAGCTCTGTTCAGACTCCTGCCAGGTGTTGTACAAAAGGTTGCTGTAGGATATGTAAATTGGCAGTCACAGAAAAGCTACTCTGTGACCGCACTTCTTTGGCTGAATTTGGGGGAAATCGTATACTGGTATTCTAGGCACATTTCTGCTTTCACTCCTCTTCCGGTTATTTTCCTCTAGAAATCTTTAATATTGCTTGATTAAGTGAGTTCTACCCCCCCCTCTTGTTGCCTCTCTTTGATATACAGTTGTCTAAAATCCTGGGACCCAATGCATGCAGATCAGTATTGTGCGTGCAGGTGATTGATAGGTGTATATAGGAAAATAGATGCAAACATAACCGTTGCTATTTTTTAATTGGTGACAAGTCCCAGAGGAGGGGTTGCTTGGAACGGCAAAGTGATGAATTTGAAGCTGCTTAAATTAACCGATTTGCTCATATATCGAAGAGGTTTTCATCTGTAGGGAGTGGAGAACGCTTCCTAATATAGTGAAGCTGAATAGTGGGCATCAGTGCTACAGGGGTCCAGAAGTGCTTGAAGCTGCTCTTCATTTTGTGTCAGAAGGAGCCCTGAGCAGCCCTGAATTGTGATTGGCAGGGATCCAATCATGTCCACCCCCTTCCCACCTCACTTGGGCATCAGCACTCTGGTGGAGATGTTTCTCACTTTTTTTTAAATCGGAAAGCCCATCTATGCTTTCAATTATGAAAATAACAGACGCCCTAATTAATCGAAGCAAAATAATTCAACCTCCTTTTCTTTTCTAAACCACTAGATGAAACGGAATCGGATTGTACAGCACTGACAATTCACCTATTAGATATTTATATGCATGTTCAGTGACCAAAAGGGCAGTAAACAATTTTAACCAAAACAGAAAAATACGTTCTAGTTGGTATCCCATTAGTTCTAAATACTTTATCAACTTCATAAGCCACAAATAAATGAGGATAAAAAGCTCTGGCGGTGGCCTCCTTGCTCTTAAGTCCTAATTAATATGACACGCTACTGGGCAAGCCAACTGGGTGCACCCATAGCTGAACTGTGCCGCTTTGGCAGATGCAGCATTTGCAGAAAATATATAAAAACTACTAAATAACAATTGTATTCAATTATTATGTTTATATTAATATTTTAGCAGAGCATTTGTCTTATATATTTTTTTTTCCTTTTTAGGGCAACCTTTATCAAGTGCACTGGAAAATACACTGTTCTACCCTCCTCCTAGGATTACATTAAAGTTAAAAATGCCAAAATGTACCCCAGGGGACTGTAAAAGCAGCTCTGTAAAAACTGGAAGTCGATCAGGCCTCCTGGTGAAGAAGAATAATAGTTCTCAAAGCAGAAGAAGAGCACACCGGAAAGGGTTCACTGATCACAGTACCAAATGCTATACCAGGCATGTCTCAGAGCAAAGAAGCAATGGACTGCTTGGCATAAATAACTCTCGGACAGACACTCAGGCCCCAGGTTCCCAGCCAACATCACGATTTAGGAGCTCAGGTAAACCTTTGTCACTACAAGCTGTAATCCATGGACAATCTTCAAATGGAAGTGGGAAAGTTCAGCATGAACATTTGAGGTCAAACAAATCTAATGGACTTTTACATTCTGATGGGGACAAATCCCAGAGAGACAACTCAAGCCAAACTCTTCACAGTCAAGAGTCTTTATGTCATTTGACTAACCAGAGTGGATTTCGGAAATCCAGTTTGGACCATTTTAGTAGATCATTCAAAGAGGCAACAAACAGCCTAGTTAGGACCATGGAAGATCTTCAGAGTTGTGAAAAACCTAAAAGGAGACAATCTACAAAAGATCGCTTGTGGAATAAACAGCCTCTTGAATGTCCATCATCTGTAACTCCTTACCAAGATAATGATGGCTATTGTCCTGATCTTGAGTTGAGTGACTCAGAAGCTGAAAGCGATGAGAATAAGGACCACATACATGTACCGAGAGGCAACCCAAGCCATGAAAACCCTAGCAGAGACTCAAATAAAAACAGTCGTAGGAGCAAAAAGAACATGATTCCACACAGTTCAGGGCAGAGGTGATAATACTGTGTTTGGAACAGACATTTATTTCTGCTAGTGCATATCTAAATGCCAAAGGTGGGTTTGTGAACCCCCAGTGGAACACAGAGAAAACATACATTTTTAATATTTTTATTTAACACTTTGTTTTTTCTTCCTGGAAATGTAAGAATTATCAACAAGCGTAAGGTCAACCTTTTATCAGTACAGCCAGATAAATAATATGCACAAATATCTTAATCAGATTTTTCTATACTTTTGTACCAGCCAAATGTTCATAAAGAACTCCGAATACATACTTGTTGCTTAATTTATGTGGCTAAAAGCCCTGTATAATAATTTTTAATATGCATTTTAGTTATCTTAGCCAGTGGGTGAAAGCATCAAGTGCTTCTGTAAATAGTTTGCTTTCAGTCTGTGGTTTTTAAGGCCTATGTACAGAAATTGCTAGTTGTGCAATGAACCTGTAAATATTTTACCCAGACAAGTAGCAGAGGCCAAAATCCGATTGTTGTTTACAGAGATAAATGGTAGCTGTCTGTTATGCATCATCATCCGGTACACAGAAGACAGGAGCATAGCATGGGATAGATGCATGGAAAATCAGCTTCAATATCCAAAAAGACACTGAAGAGTCTTTACAACATCAAACACTACAATATTTTATGTTTACAGAAAGAGCCTCACCTTATCAAACGGTGTTCCCTCTTAGCTTTCCTGTCTACGCTAAGTCTTTTCCCTGCAAATTGACGTTGCCAAAGTGCAATCCCAATCTCTGACTCTCCACTCCATAAGGTATAAGATACTTTGCTTCTGGGCTTCTCTCTCTGAAATCTTACTCAGAGTTTAAGGGTCAAGTAGATTAAATGAAATGGGCAAAAAGACATCCAGGAGAAGATTATTCCACACCTAATGAAATAGGCCATGCTGTCCTTCACCGTGCTCATGCTCTAACTGCTTTTATTTTGCCCTTCAAGAGATCCAGTATCTACCAGGGCACAGACTACTTTACAAAGGCCACTTAGGCCTGATATTTGCTTTCAATGACAATACTGTCTAGTCTAGTCTCCCACAGTGATGGCTGTCGGGTGCTGAGGGATTATGCATCGCTGAGCTTTTTCTTCCTGATTAAACTTTTTGAGGCACTGCAGTACTGACAGTCTCTTGGTTGTGCCACCAATGGTAGAGTTAGACAAGCTGCATGCTGGCAATTTAAGAGTACATCTAACTTGAATCATCTCATCACACAGGGCAATCCTGCTAGTATTCCTTTAGGCATAAATATTATTCCAATAATGTTGTCCCCTATACTTTCAGTGCTTGTAATATCTAAAACTGAACTCCAAGCACAAACACTTTCATTTTAAATATTTTTTTCAATAGCCACAAAGCAAATAAATTCAATCCAAATGCTTTTGCAAACACAGATATTGCCTTGTATGAGTAGCAGTTGCATGATCAATGTGCCTGCATAGTCTGCACAGAGAACAAAGCTATGGGAGGGACCTGGTAGGTCCACATACTACAGACTGCCTTCAAAAAAACAGGAGGGTCGAATACAGGAGCAGTCATCCTATACAACTAAAGAGCAGCAGTGACTGGTCTTTATTACAGAAAGCTTCTATACAAAGGCATAGTTCTACGCTGCATTGCTGCACAGATCTGGGAGAATTGCACAAAGCACTCCAAGATTCAAGTAGGAATACACATGCCTCTTGTATTTAGACAATATTTGCTTATCCTGGAGTTCAGCTTTAAAGCTGAGCTTTACCCATACAAAAGAGAAAGCAACAGATTTATGAACCCAACCTCTCCCCCTCAATCTGCTTATTTTTATCTTTGCCACTTCTGTCCATGGGATCAAAAAGCAGTAGTCCTGCATAAGCTCCAAGTCACTTTTGGTTGGAGTTGACACAGGGCCATGGAATTTTTTTCCAGCCCCCACATTACAACAATGGTGTCAGGTGATTGGTTGTTTGGGCACCCAGTACTGCATTGTAGGAGGAAATGAATGTGTCACATGATCTTCATACCTGCAAGTACCAGGTGTTATCTTTCACTTTCAGGACCAAGGGAAGAAGATAATATATAGTTGAGGGGAAGGAGCAGCAAATGGAACATGTTGCTTCACCCTTTTGTTACCTATATTTCCTTTAACTTTGTATTTGGGATGTTGGAACCGGTATTTCTTGTTCATAGAGGGACACAGGATTTCAGAGACAGTTGGGCTGTTCTGCCACCTATAAGATGATTTGGATACTGGCAAACAAAAAAACTAGTGACCAGCCTGCTTTAACCCCTCCCACTCCCAGCATATTCCAGGTTTTGTTTTCTTTTTTGTGCTGCCCACTCTGCTTTTTATTTTTTTTTCTGCCATTTAGTGTGAGCTAACACTTTCCTGCCATTGCACCTAATTGCAAGAGATGCGTGCTTCCACCTCAGTTAGTCCTTGCCACCTCCAGGCCTTTTTTGAACCTCTCCCTTATCCAACACTCAGTTTGTGAGTATTTAAGGTTTTGCTTTGTATTACAGCTACTGTAAGTTGTCCTAATTTGTGCTGAAACCTTTCAGATCCTAAACACAACAAGAGCATTCCTTTTTGTGTCAAGTACCTTTTGGCTTACAATCCACCAACAGTTTGGGCGTGGCCTGTTGCGTTTCCTCTTAAGGGCCTGATGTTGACAACCTGGAATGTTGTCCCCTGCTTGATTCCTTAGAGTCCTTCTTTGCTCTATTCTGTGTGCCCCCCTCCTTGCTTTAACCCAGAAGTATTTCACTGCAGTTGTACAGTATTTTTTTTTTTTTTTAAATTAAGTTTTATAATTGCTGACTGCAGATGACATGAGCATACATCGGCATCTTCCCCTGCAGAATCATTATCTGATATGCTGGCAGCCGTAGCAGCTTCTGATTCTTGCTGAAGCTTTATCTGATGAGTCTTACAGATTTTGGCAGGATGAGATTGCCCCTGGGAAATAGTAGGTAGCTGTCATACCTCCCAGACTGAGAGACATCATTTTGGCTCCTATTGATGCGGTGCATGCCAACCTAAAGATAGAGGAGCAGTCTTTTAACTTCCACTAGTGGTAGTACCGGTCTACGATGCCAGAGTGGCCCTAAGACGACAAAAATCTTTCCCATGTGCACGCTATAACCCGATGTCTTGTACTTCAACTGGCAAACTCTTGATAAACTATTTATACTTCCCAAATGTTTTGCAATCAATCACCCGGTTGAGGAGGCCTTTATCAAAAAGTGGGTGGTTCCCAGAATGTATCCCACCAGTAAAGCACCGGCAATTCATGTAGAGCAGAGGTATCCAAGCTTCTGCCCTCCAGCTGTGGTGAAACTACAAATTCCATCATGTATCTGTTTTTGAAAGTCATGCCCGTGGCTGTCAGATTCATGCAATACCTAATAGGGTTTGTAGTTTTACCGCTGCTGAGGTTGGGTTACCCCCGCTGTAGAGGATTGCACCAGTATTTGAGCATAGATAAATGTTTAGAGACTCTCTAAAGCCTCGTTTTCCCTAGCAGGTTCTGTATTGCAATCTGCTATGGCCGTGATGCTAGTCTCTCAAACATTAGGGCAGTGGACAAACTTGTGGCAAAGGATCCAGGTTTACTGCACTCTAATCCTCTATTTGTGGAGCAATTACAGTTCATGCTGACAGCCCTGCACTGCTGCCTACATAGGTTAGTGTATCTCCCCGGTCTTAATTCCCATATGAAATCTGTTAACTCTTTGGTTAAAATGATGTGCTGCAGAACAGACATGCAGAAAGTGTTTACTGCACATTCCCATAGAGGGACGTGTCTTTGGAGCTGCCTTGGACATCCTAATCAAGGCTGGTGGTAGGAATACTCCTCTAGCTCATCAGAAAAAGCCTAGACCGAGTGCGAAAAATTATCCCCTTTCTAAAACCAAAGATGTTTTCAGTCTCTAAGGCGAGACCAGTTGCACTGCAAGCTCTGGGCCCTTCTATTCTTTGATTAACACTTTTGTACATGCTGACTTTAATGTAGCTCTTCCTGTGCACCCACATGTGACTCTATGGGCTATAAATCACATTTTCTAGCCTCTTCAAAAATCACCCTCTGAACCTGTCCAGGATTTTTCCCTGTCACTTACGCGGTTGCTTTTCTTATCACCTCTGTGAGAAATGTGTCTGAACTGGCGACTTTGTCCTGTGGAAAACTTTTTAGGTGCACAAGAACAGGGTGGTATCGAAGCTTAGAGCCTCCTTTCTTCCCAGGGTTGTTTCCTCTGACCTCAGAAAAGACATTGTGCTTCCATCCTTCTGTCCAGACCCAGTACACAGGGAGATTTCTCTACAGTGTTTGAATAATTCATACTGTGCATGGAAACTTTGCAGTCCCTGCTACTATTAGAGAGACTTGAGCTACAGTCACACATGCCACTTGTTTTTGTGCTCCTATATGCAGATAATAATCTGCCAGGCTAGATGCTGTGTTTATGCTTCTAGGTGCAATAAATGATGCATGTTTACTTGTTTGTGTGTTTACATGCATATGTGTTTAGATGATTCTGATACCATATCTTAGCATCACATCACGTTTACATGCGTTTAGGTGCATTTCAAAGTTAAAATCGATTCCTAGATGTACCGGAATTCTATTCTTTCTAAACACAGATAAAAGCATCTAAACGCAATGTGTGAATAGATTCATTGGAAATCATTACGCGTGTGTGTTCGTTCAGAAAAGCTTTTAAATGCATCTAATCACATCTATCATGAATGTAGCCTAACTCCCTCTGTCATCCCTGATGGTCCCCGCAAGGGGAAAGTGCTTTATGTTCCACCACTTCTAGGTGGCTCAGATAAATCATCTTTCAAGCTTATCTTATGGATCTGGTTCCACTCTTTTGACTGCCACCTGGTCTCCTGTTCACACATTCTCTATTACCAGGTGGATGTTCAGACCGCACCTGATCACTTTGGGCATAGAATCTTTTAGGGCCAGTTCACACCGGTTTGGTGCCGGAACACACTGGATTGCATCCCGGCTGGCTCCGTGCGTTCAGGGGCGGGAGAGGGTGTGGCGGTGCATTGAAGTCAATGGCTCCGCTGCATGCACAATTCTCCACGGAATGCAGGCATTGATGTGCCATGCGTTCGGGTGCAGGGGACCGCACTGCGGCTGGTGACTGGTGCCTCCTTTTTTTTTATAGGAGGCAGTATAACCAAATTGTCTCTCAATCTGATGTTCCTCAATGAACTTCCAAGGAAAGGATATAGTAATTTTGAATTTAGAGATCCATTAATATGGTATAAGTATACATAAATATTGGTTTAAGGCATCGGTTTTGTCAACTCGGTACACAGTTTTACACCTAAATTGAAGCGTGAAGGATCTATTTGCACCTCCTTTATAGTACATGTGAAGATGTTTTAAGAGATAAAAGTTTGCAAAATGCAATAACCTAATTGGCAAAAAAAAGTCACTAATTTCCTTTATGGAAGTATGTTATAAAAATATTGTTGCTCATAGCAACCAACCATCTGTCATGTCTGC